AAGATTGAAATTAGCGGAATTGAAATAATAGAATTATTAATATGAAATTAATTAATAAAAAAATTTACAACATTTGGAGATAAAAATTTATAAAAATTTATAAAAAATATAAATCGAAATATCATCAAATAAATTTTAATATTTTTTTTAATATTTTTCTATTGTAATATTATACAGAACAAAAAGAATGTTTATAATGAATGAATATATATAAACATATCATTGTTTTTTACTAAGTTTACATATATCAATTATATGATATTGTTTAAAATTGTTATAAAGTATGCGTTGCATATAAAGAAATAAAAGATATAATTATTCAAATTATAATCTTATATATATAATAAATTTCATATATCAATTATAAATAAAAAATTTTTATTCCTTTTTTTATTTTTATTTTTTCTTTAAAATTAATTAATTCTTAAATAATTGATGCAAATTTATTAAGTATATTTATTTAATTTTATAATAAAATGATTATTTATCTATTACTAATATTAATCAAAATATAAATTGACATAAAAAATGAAATATAAAAAAATTGTACTATTATTTTTTTTGAATAAATGAAATGAAATTATTGAATATTAATTCAAAATATAAGTTTAAATTTATCATGTTATTCTTATATTGTATTATCTTATTGTGTAGCATAGCTATAATTGGAACATATTATATATTAAGATAAGTATAATTTTTTATACTTAATAAAAAATGCAATTTACCTGTTATAAGCAAATTCTTCTAAAAAATTTCCAAGGATGTTGATTTAATAATAAATTTTTTTTACAACTTTATCAAATAAAACTTTGGAAGATTTTAGAACATTTTAAATAATGTTTGAAATATAAAAATTGTTATATAAATATTATTCATAATAGTTAAAAATTTAAAAGTTTGTATTTGAAAATCGAATAGATATTTCAATTTGATATAAAAATATAAAGCATTTTTTTTAACAATGTTGGTAACAAGTAAGTAAGATGTAATGTACCGTCATGGCGACGTTACCGCCACGGAAAAATCCAACTCCAACGAAAATTTTAAAACAACATTTAACACCATTACAAACACTCTTACAATTAGGTTTTCCAAAACATCGAGCGTAAGTATTATACAACAATTATAAAAGATTGTCAATATCTTTTTATTATTCTATAAACAATTATAAACGATTATGATGCATTCAGTGTAAACAAACAGCTGTCAAATATTAAATATCACTATTGTTTTCTTTCTATGTTTGTTCTACAGTGATTGTTTATATTTATTATTGTAATTAATATATTATATATTTTTTTATCATTATTTTTTTAATAAATAAAAAAATATAATTTTATAAAAATTTTGTATAATTATTATACAAAATATAATTAAAAATATTTTACTAACTATAAGTCATAACAATTCAAATAGATATTGTATTGTTTATAGAGAGAAAGCATTAGCTGCTACAGGGCATCGAGGTGTTCAACTTGCATCTGATTGGCTAGTAGCTCATGTTAGAGATCCAACTTTGGATACTTATACTCATAGACAATATATTTTATATGCTTGTCCTACGGGTGAACTAGCTGAACAGTTAATGAGATTTTGGTCTGAAAGTAAAGAACTTATAAGGAATGGAGCTCATAATTATATGCCACATATTACACTTGTGTCATTTTTTAGAGTATGAAATTATTTTAATTTTAATAATATGATATAAATAAAAATAATACAAATATATTATTTATAGGCACCAGATGAATCTACTGAAGAGTTGGTAAATATTCTTGAAAATGTAATTAACCAAAATGAGTTATCAGATAATATTGAATTAGAAACATATATTTCTCCTAATTTTATGGGTTTATTTGTTAAAAAAGCAAATGTAGAATGGCTGAAAAATGTTGCTATTCATTATGTAAACAAACTTTCAAGTTTGGGAATTTCTGCAGAACCTCAAGTAAAATCTTTACATTTGACACTAGCTTATCAGTTTCCTAGCAATTTATATCAACAATTGCGTTTAATGGTAGAAAAATTAATACTTACTTGTCCAACTAATTGGGAACTAAGATTATATTCTAGAGATCCTAGATTACAAAACATACATGTACATAAAGTAACACATGCTCATATGCCTAGAGAACATGATGAATTAGAATTAAGAGTAGGAGATTACATTTATATTCCAGAAGGGGCATGTAGTGCATCTACAGATGGTTGGGTCGAAGGTATCTCTTGGTTAACTGGTATTTCAGGCCATTTACCTTTAAATCATACAAAACGTACAGCTGAATCAGATTCATGGACTTTACACACTACTATACAAATTACTGACAATAAAAGTGAAATTTTAGAAAAAGAAGAAATACCTCTAACTCGTAAACCACCAGAATTATTATCAAGTGATTCTGTAGACAGCCCTGATGGAGTAGCAACAACTAATGAACCAGTAAATTATATTAATTATTTATTATTTATTCATGTATAAAAATTCCAATTTTAATCTTTTATCTACATATGTAGATAGAGGCTTCTGAAGCACCTCCAAGTTTCTCAAGACAAATTTTTATATGCCGCCATGGAGAAAGAGTAGATTTTACATTTGGAGCATGGATTCGTTACTGTTTTGAACCAAATGGATCTTATGTTCGTAGAGATTTAAATATGCCAAAAGAAATACCATCAAGAAATATACAAGATTTTCGAAATGATAGCCCTTTGACAACTGTAGGTGAAATGCAAGCAAGTTTAGTAGGAGAAGCTATGAAATCATCTAGTATTAAAATTGATGTGGTTTTCACATCTCCATCATTAAGATGTATACAAACATTGGCTCATATCTTAAAAGGATTAAACTTGAATATTCCAATGAAAATAGAGCCAGGTCTTATAGAATGGTTAGCATGGTATCCAAATGGTGTTCCAGTTTGGATGACATCTGAAGAATTAACAAAAGCAGGTTTTAACATAGATAAAAATTATGATCCAATTATTAAAGCAAAAGAACTTCCATTAAAGGAAAATGCAGCTCAGTATTATGAACGAAGTTACGAATTAATCAAACGAATTATTGAAAATACAGTAGGGAATATTTTAATAGTAGCTCATGCTGCTTCTTTAGCAGCTTGTACTAGGCAATTAACAGGTGGAAGAGTTCCACCAGCTTCAGAAGTTACAAGATTAGCACAGAGAGTACCATATTTAGCATGTCTAACAGCACGTGAAGAATTGAATGGTTGGCAACTTCATCCACCTCCATTTCCACCTATAACCCATACCAGTAATACTAGATTTGATTGGAAAGTATTATTGTAAAAAATAATTAATATTTTAAATACAGTTTTTTTCTCTTTTTATCTTTTGTTATATAAAAGCTGCTTAAACATAAAAGACTGTAAAAATACAATGAATTTTTTTGTAACATTTAATTTATACAAAATAGATTAAAAAGAGAGAAAATGTATTAAAAAATTATATATTCTGGGTTGGGTTATTTATAATATAATAAAATATGCCAGTTAACTATTCAATAATTACAAAAATTAATACTTATAGGACAATAAATACGGGTATTGACATTCAATTCTACCTTCTTTATAAAGAATTTAGAATATGTGTCTCAAAAAAAAAATTTGAATTGATATTTTAAAAAAAGATATATTCTTTCATAGATTTCGTACTGAATGTTTAGAAAGTTTTTAGTAATATGATATTATGATATTATGATAGTATTTATAACATTTGATAGAAAAATATTAATAATACATTCAAAGTCTTAGAGAATGTATTTAAAAAATCATGACATTAAAAAATTTGATATATTATAATTTTTTTTATCTTTAATTGTAAAAATTCAAAAAATTATTAATCTATTATTTATTCAATTTTTTAAATTTATTGTTGCATATTATGTATACATTATGTATACATAAATAATGAAAAAATATGAAATCAAATCTAATATTTTTTACAAAATATATGAATGCACATATAATTTAGATTTAAAATATATTATTTTTATGTTTAATAATTTAATTCATTGTTACAAAAAATCTATTTAAGTGGAAATTATGAAAATCAGTAAATAACAAAATTTTTTCATACATTGTATAAACCTATGAAATAATAGTTGGCATAAATAATGTATGGAGATATAGAAGTACAAAATCAATGTAGGAAAATGTTATTTACCAAAGAAATATATAAAATGTTATTTCATTACAAATATCAGTTATGTCATGAAAGAATCTACTATTTTATTTACTATAGAAAAAAATTTATTAAAGTATAATATATAGTATACCTCATAATGTTTAAAAAATTTTTTTATATAAAATAAAATTTAGTAAAAAATATAATAAATGTAAGATATTATAAAATGTTTATACTTTTCTATAACAATATTAATAATTATACATGTCCACTTTCCTTTAGTTTTGCAATTAATGTATCAACATCTGGTACAATAGTTCCGGCTTGTCTAACTGGTGGTTCTTCAACTGATAAAATTTCAATTCTTGCTGTAGTATCTACACCAAGATCTTTTGCTGTTACTTTTTTAATTGGTTTTTTCTTAGCTTTCATAATATTTGGCAATGTAGCATATCGTGGTTCATTAAGTCGTAAATCAGCACTTAAAACTGTTGGCATTTTTATTTTAACAACCTCTGAACCTCCATCAACTTCACGTGTAACAGTTAGATCATCATTATTTTTTTCAATCTATCACAAAAAAATATAAAATATACATTGTAATAAATAGTTTTTAATATTGCTTAAAATATATTTTTAAATAATATTATTTAATATTGTAACTTACTTTACTACAAAATGTTCCAGTTGGCCAATCTAAAATACCTCCAATCATTTGTGCAGTTTGATTACTATCATCATCTATAGCTTGTTTTCCAACAATAATTAAATCTGCTTTCTCTTCTTGAGCTAATTTGGCCAGAAGTTTAGAAACATGAATAGGTTGCAAAGTTTCATATTCAGGTCCAGGTATTTCAACATGAATTCCTTTATCAGCACCCATTGCAAGGGCAGTTCTTATTACATCTTGACATTGTGGAGGTCCACATGAAACTGCAATTATTTCTTGTACTAATTTCTTTTCTTTCATTCGTATAGCTTCTTCAATTGCAATTTCATCAAAAGGATTCATTGCATGTTTTACTCCATCTGTTACAACACCTGTTTTATCTGATTTAACACGAATCTAAAATATAAAGTAAAATAAAAATATATTACAAAATGTAAATGAAAAATATTATTTACAATTATTTCAATCTAGAATACTTATTTTTTATCGTGATAATTAATATATTACGTAATAATTAGATTTTTATTTTAACTTATTATGATTAAAATTATATTTTTTAACATATATTATTATTAAATTTTATATCATACTTATATTATTAATTACCTTAACTGCATAATCGATAACTCTTTTTACACCTACAAGTGCTCGTGCCATTGTTGATTAAGAAACAGATCGATAAATTATACGAAATAAAAGTATATAATTATCTTTTCATAATATATGTTGAAATATTTACAGAACTATACAATCTTTTTTATATATAGTCAAACTACTATTTGATTGGTCTGTTTGATATTTTGATTATTTAGTAAATCTAAATAGTCTAAAGTTCATTATACTTTGATATGTGTTGATTTTATGGACTTATTTTCATGCACTTCATGCTGATTTTATGGACATATTTTCATACAATTTCATACAGTGTTGATGTATATAACTAAACTATAATATCATAATTGTTTCAAACAAAATTCTAATCACAGTAAAATAATTCCAAAATTATTTGAAAGATAAGAGAATAAAAATAATTTTTATCGTAATGATGTAAAACTTGTAATAAATATGTTTTTACTTTTATGATATAATTTCTTTCTTTCCATATTTATCATAATTTATTTATAAAATAAATAAGATAACAAAATTTATAATTATATTTTTATATTAGTAAAGATATATTTTTATTTTAATTGGATTTACAAATAATTTATAACAATATTTTGTTATTTTTTTATTTTAGTATATTATAAATTAAGGCCATTTTCAATCTTGCGACATGAAAATGAAAGACATATAATATGTAAAGAATAAAGAAATGAATCATTATTTTATAGCAATTATATATAGCAATTACTGTTATTTGAATTTCTTTTGAATCTCTTTTGAATTACTTATTTATTGAAAAAAAATATAAATAGAAATTATCATATATTTTTTACAGTCTTATTAATTTCAAAATGATAATTCTAATAATTATTAATTATTCTAAAAATTATATTGTATTATTTATTTATTTAAAAAAATTTAAAACATTTTTTAAAATATTTCAAATTATTACACGAATGAAATATACATATTAATTAATATGCTATATATATTAATTAATTTAATTTATTAATATTTTATAATAATTTATTAATTTATTAATATTATAAATAATATTAATTTATTATTATAATTCTCTATAAAAATATTATAATTTA